AACAAAGTGGAAATCCTTGACTCTGGCACTGCTTTACAAGCTGATTTAAGAACTCACAGTGAGAATCTGTATATTCTTAAGACACATTTCCAAGTCTTTCAAGACTAACAATAATAAACCCACTTGTGTTTATGACTTAAACAAAAGACACAGCACAATGTAGTTTTGAACTGTTTATTTCACATGTCCCATACCGGAGTTTCTTCAGTTAAAAGTTCCTACAAGAAAATGAAATAAACATTGTTACAAATCAGTTTGCTTCAACAGCTCAAGTAAATATCTTTGACCAACCATAAATGCAATGTACAGATTGTCATCCTCAAAGCTGGATTTGGGAATGGAAGTTCCCCCTGCAGGAGTTAGAGGGTAAGATAAACATACGTACTTGGACACAATTCCATCATTTTTTGCCAGACGCAAAATGGAGTCATCTGATTCACCCTGTAAAGAGAAAAGGAAATATTCTCAAGTATCCAAATAATTGCTGACACATGTGGAAGAAAGGCAGCTGCAGCAGTTAGAGCAGATTAGTGTTTTTAAAATAAACTGTTACTTTTTTGTCATCCTTAAGGGCAATTCCTTACCTTTAAGGATGACAAAAAAGTAATAAAAAATGTAAATGTATATATAAAATAAAATATGCATATATAATGCATACTTAATATAAAAAATATGCATTTGCAGGAACAACATATATTTATGGATAAGTGGACTTGTGATGAACTCCTCATTTTAAAGTCAAGGTGGTATCACCTCCAGTAATTATAAACAACAGATAAAAGCCAGAATTAGTACCTTGATACACATTCTTAAAAGAAAATAATTTGTATACTTTATTTTGAAAAAAACAACAAACATCTCCAGAAGAAATTGATTATTCCAAGCAATCCAAGGCCCTGGCACAAGGAAGCTGTGGCTGCCTCATCCCTGGAAGTGTCCAAGGCCAGGCTGGACAGGGCTCGGAGCACCCTGGGACAGCGGAAGGTGTCTCTGCCCACGGGAGGGATGGAACGAGATGATCTTTAAGGTCCCTCCAAACCAAACGTTTCCGTGAGTCTGTGAATTGGTTTACACACTCCACAGAGTGTTTTCAGGGCCAGACACCCAGCTCACCAGTGACCAGTGACCAGAAGCAGCAGCACAGTAATGCTCACCATTCTCCGGATGGGGCCGCAGATGGCGTAAGTCTTGAACTGGCCGTTCACCCTGCCTGTCACCTTGTCCACCTGCAATCACAGCCAAGCTTTACCAGGTTTTACACTCTCACAGCACACTTGCCAAGCACCCCGAGTTAAAAACTGCAGAGAAGTACTTGCAGTGTTGAGAAAATAAACCTCAGAATCTCAAGGCAAACAGTGGAGTTAGAAAGTCAACAACAATGATCTTTGCACAGCAGATTTGTAACTACACAGTGCAGCCATAAAATGTACTGGGTCACACAGACTGACAAGAAATGGTAGCTAAAAGAAATGAAAATTGAGTTCTGAAGAAATGGAAAAGCTCTGAGTAAAGTAGATTTTCCTGCCTTTACTCTTTTTTTTGTTTTGTTTTGTTTCTTTTAACTGAGGTCATATAATGGAAAATTGAACTGAAGGGGGAAAGGGACAGAATTGGTACATGGGTAGGAAAATGTCCAAGCTGAGAAATAAATTGTCTCACTTCCTTAAGCTGCTGAGAAATTTAACAGGAAAAACACTAGAAGATATAAATCATGGATTTAAACAGGGTAGTGAACCCTGTCATACCAGGTGGGTTCATTTCCATGTTCTGCTAATCTCTGATCCTTTGAAAACAAGGAATAGGGATCACTGAAGGAAGTAAACATGAACAGAAAAGTACCTGCCTTAACAATTACAGGAACTACAGGGTGGTTTTTTAAAGTTTTTTTTTTTTTGTAAGATAACTCAGGCGACTCAGATTTTTAGAAGATGTGGGGATGTGGTCTCCCATTCAAGAACCAAATCAAGCTGTGTAGCTCATAAGCTACAGGAACATTCTGTCCACAAAATTCCTGAAAGCTGAATTTAAAAAACAATTGGGGGAAAAAAAACCCCAAACCATGCTACAAGGAGCTTATATTAATTGGAACCCACATGTATTAACTGGGAACCTGCAGGAGTCAATGTCTATTGTGACTTTCTTTACTGAATTACTGAAGATACATCACAAGCTGTTTAATTCTGTAACTTTTATCAAAAGTTTAAAGGTTTAGCTCTCTCATCACATATTCTGTTGATAAACTTACCTCAGAAATGTTTATCTGGATGGAAGCATGATCCTTAGCACCAATGATTCGGTTGCTAGCAGAGCTAAGGAATAAAGCAGGACAGATTTAAACAAAAGGAAACAGGCAGTGACAATGGCAAAGAAAGCCACTAGAGCCAATCCTACAGGCAAATTAAAACTGCACAAGGAATTCAGACAGTAACAGTTTAAGCTTTCATTACTTAGAAGATTAAAATGCAGTTTTAAGTATATTTAAAGAATATTTTCACTTGGTAGCATCACACTTATTAGCCAGTTTTCCCTTCACTTTGGTTTCTATGTGCCCAGTTCACCTCCATGCAGTGTACAGGGCAGTACAGGCCTTCAAAACACACAGAATATTGTTTTCTAAAATGCAAAAATACAGTCATCAAGGTAATTAATAGGATTAGTTTCTAAGCCTTTTTTGTTGACAGCCACTACAGCTGTCAAAGACACTCAGGTTGGGATACTCAGGAATTACAGGCTGTAAAACATATTTGACTTAATCTAATAAAATTCCTACAAGTGGCTTATTTTTAATGACTTTTTAAACTGATAGAAAACTGATTTTTTTTCTCCCCCTACAGATATTTGCTGCTACAAAAAAAGCCCTTCTACACAGGCTGCACAGGTGAGGGCTCCAGGGATGTTTTTGCACCCCTCCTGCCCTGGCTGGCTCCTCAGTCCCTGCTCACCATTTCCGAGGGACATAAAGGTCCACAAACTCCCCGGCGTCGTTCTGCATCTCGTCCTGCTCCTGCTGAGGCACTAAGCACAAACACCTGCAGGAATCACGGAATATCGCCATTTGGGAGGGACTCACAAGGACCATCGAGTCCAAGTGCTGGCCCTGCACAGGCACCCCAGCAACCGCACCCTGGGCATCCCCGGCAGAGCTGTCCCAGCGCTCCCGGAGCTCCGGGGCCGTGCCATGCCCCGGGGAGCCTGGGCAGTGCCTGCTTCCGAGGGAAAACCTTTTCCCAAAACCCACCCTCACCCTCCCTGACTCAGCTCCAGCCTTTCCTTTGGGTCTCGTCGCTGCCCACAGTGCCCAGAGCCGTGAGGTGATGCCGGAGCCCGGCCGGGCCCACACAGCCGAACCTCGCAGGCAGAACCGTCCCCGCCCTCAGCATCGCTCCCGGGGCTCCGCCACCGCTCCCGGCCCCGCCAGAGCCCCCACGGCTCCCGCCGGCCCCGCTCCCATCGCTCCCGCTGCCACGGCTCCCGCCGGCCCCGCTCCCATCGCTCCCGCCGGCCCCGCCGCCTTTCCCGGCCCCGCCGCCATCGCTCCCACCTCACGCGCGGCCGGGAGGAAAGGAAGGGGCGGGGCCGGACGCGGAATTACGTCACAGCCCCGCGAGCACTTCCTGTGCGGCCGCGTGACGTCACGGCGCGGATCAGGGATGGCGCCCGGCCCGGCCCGGCCCTTCAGGGCCGCGGGGCTCGTCCTCGTCCCCCCGGCCAGGGACAGCGCCTCGCTGGGGGCTGCACACCCGAGCGGGCCTCTCGGGTGACATTCCGAACTCACCCGCTCCAGGTGACGCACCCTCGGCAGGGGGTTGGACGGTGTGGGCTCCAGAGGTGCCCGCCATCCTGAGCGCTCTGGGATTGTGAGCAGAGCGGCCCGGAACCCTCACGGAAACCCAGAGGAGCATTCCGAGCTCCTGGGGAGGGCCCCAGCGATGATGAGGCCTCTGGGGCCTCTCTCTCAGGAGGGACTGTGGAGGAGCTGGGCCTGAGAGGAGAGCTCCTCCATCTGTACAAATATCTCCAAGGGCTGGCAGAAAATATTGCTAGACTCTTTGTAGCGGTGCCAAGGAGAAATGGCCATAAACAAAAACAAAAAAAAATCCCACCTGAACTTGATGAATAATTTTCCATTAAGGATGGCAGATCGCTGTCACAGCGCTCGGGACATGGGCAGTCTGTCTCTGGAGACATTTCCAACCCACCTGCACATTCCCGTGTCACCTGCTCCAGGTGACCTGCCTCAGCAGCAGGCTCAGAGGGGATGATCTCCAGAGGGCCCTTCCAACACCACCCATTCTCTTATTCCAAAATGAGACATTTGGTTACAAACCGTGTACCAAAACAGGTTTTATTTCACAGCATCTTAATTTCACGGAAGAAAAAAACAAACAAAAAAAACCAAACCAAAACAGGCTACAACTGAGACTTTTAAATAATGGAATATAACAAAACTAGAAGAGTTTTTGTTTACAGGAAAATGTACAGGCTCTTCTCAAGAGAGTTCTCCGTGCTGAGCCACCCCAGCAGCACCTTCACATAGCACCAGACCCCGCTTTGGTGTAAACCTGCTTCTCTTCAGAGCAAGAGGAGTTTGGCTGTGCAAACGTGAGCAGGTCTGGCTCTGGCTCCGGGTCCCGCGCTGAGTTTGAACACACAAGGTACTGAGAGTGCTTTGCCACATGGTGGCAGCTTTTAGGTGAAAAGAGAGAGATTCCCGCACAGGAGTGCGAGCTGCGCTCTGGGAAGGGCAAACCCGGCAGGGAGAGCAGGGGGAACTGCGGGAGGATCCCTGCCGAAGGGCTGGCTGTCCCTGCAGAAGGGCTGGGCTGGCTGTCCCTGCAGAAGGGCTCCTGGCTGTCCCTGCAGAAGGGCTGGGCTGGCTGTCCCTGCAGAAGGGCTGGCTGTTCCCTGCAGAAGGGCTGGCTGTCCCCTGCAGGAGGGCTGGCTGTCCCGCAGAAGGGCTCAGGAATATCCCAAAAAAACAAACGGCTGTCCCACAGAAGGGCTGGCTGTCCCTGCAGAAGGGCTGGGCTGGCTGTCCCTGCAGAAGGGCTCCTGGCTGTCCCTGCACACACACGTGTTCCTGCACAAGCCCCGGGCTCTGGCAGCATCACCCCAAGCCCAAGCTCTGCCACACAAGGCTGGCACTGCCCTGCATCACCCCTGGCTTCCTAACTCGAGTGTGTGCCCAAGCCAAGAGCTACAATAACTATCAGACAACATTCAGCTTTCTGTAATTTAATGCTCCTTTATCCCAATTTGTTCTCCTGGAAGGAAACAAAAGCTTGCCGGTTTTATGACGTAAACCCACGGATTCTGGGAGTGTCATTACAGCCCAAGTGGCCACCTGAACTAGACAAACTTCCACTGAATACAGACTGCAAGTGTTGCAAACCAAAGTGCGTTTTGTTCCCTTGGATGGTGAGAAAGGAAGGTTAATTTTGTTACAGAAAAATCTTCATACACTAAATAAAGAAGTTCCCAGAGAAAGACACGTTCAGATTTCATTCATACTACTCAAGCTGTTCTGTGAGAAATTTCTTTGCTCTGTTGTACCTCTGGCCCCTCCACAATGCCTTGGGAAGTGGTGGACCACCTCAGCTGTCTGCACCACTGTTTGCTAATTGGAGGCTCATTACACACTAGATGTTTAGAATGTCACTATTTCTGCATGCAAGGACAGTTATATTCAGTAGAAAGTTTAAGTAGTAGGCAATTTTTTTAAACCTTTTGGAAGATATTTGGCAAGCTTATTGTCTAAACTATTAGCTACATCTCACTTCTGGAGACTGGAAAGTCCTTCTGTGTTAGAGAAATCACAAGCATATTAAATTTCACACAAATAATTTGAAGCTACATACAGCTGAACACAGTTACAAAAGTTTGATAGTCACTGTAATTATTACATATGAAAAATACACTTTGAGCCCCACTCTGAGAGGAAGGGGCTCCAGTAAAGTTTGCTGCAATTCTAATGAAGCCAAATTAGCTTCAGACAAAACACAGCTGAAGAGCAAGGATTCAGCTTTGGTTTTGGCTACAACCAATATTTAATACAAGGAACAGGAATTTACATTACTTACATATTGGATAGCAAGTCCCTGACCTCAGCATGAGGTCTGGCAGTTTATGAGTCAAACTTAAATAACAACTTTCTCAGCTGGAATAACCAAGTATCAGTTTTGTTCCTTGCAAAGGGACCCAGTAACTTGTATCATAATATTGCTTCAGAAAATAAACCCATGAGCCAATACCACAGAAGGTTCCAGGTATAATCAAGAATTCATTCCCAACCTGGATACTGTAAAAATAAAGGAAGGAATAAGCCAACAGGAAGAGAAGTTATTTGAGCTCTGTGTATGCACTAGAGAGCTGCTGGGCACCAGCCAGTAGTGGCTGCTCAGACGTGCAAGAAATGCCAGTTTTATGAGGACCATCACAGTGATGCAACGCTTGGAAGAACAGAGAGTAAAAAAGTAGCATTTTAAATACCGAGCATGCTTTGTTTCATTGGCCTCGGTTGGCAGCAGTAACTCTACTGGCTTCGTATTTGCTCAGATAACACCATCTATAATACAGTCGATCCTAAAAAAGGTGCTTATTTCAGGCTACAGAACAGAGAAACAAATAAAACCCTAAATTATACATTTGACAGCAAATTGCTCTTAGTCAAGTGCTCATCTTCCACTCAAGAGTGAATTAGGATGGCAATCACTTCCCAGCTACCTCACTCAATGTGTGGTACTTCATGACAGGTTTTCAAACCAATTTTCCTTCTAAAGCAAAATTTATATTTTAAAGTTATTTATAGTAAATAAATTGAAATGGAGTAATTTCAATCTTGCTACTTATAGATCATAGAATAGATGCCCTGTATATTATTAGTGCAGATATACTGGAATTGTTTTCCTTGTATGCAAGGCCAATGCAGGTAAAGAATAAATGGCTATACAAATTCAGGATTCCCCACTAAATAACAGAACTAACTTAAAAAGCACTGGTACCAGACCAGCCAGTTTTAGGCACATCTTTAAAAAAATAAAGTATGCATTTCATTAATGTAAAAATGTGAGAAGGTTCTTAGAAACATCTGAACTTTATGGTGCACTGGAATGGAAGTGATGTTCCTTCAGTTTCAAGGAATACAATAAAGGCTTAAAACAAAACAAAAGAACCAATACCATAGTATTCTTCATAGGGAAGAACAGTTTTAGTAAAACCAGGAAGATAAATAAGGAATAATAAGCAGCCATGACAGCTGACTGGTGAATATTTGTGCTTTAAATGTCCAAAAGAAAACAAAAGTTCAATAACTCTTCTCGTACCATCCCCCAGATTTGGCATCTGTGTCCACAGACCTCGACAGTTCCCATCACCCTGCAGCCTTCCCAACGAGCTGGAGCCAGTGGCACCTCCACAGGCAGCATCCTGGGGTGGGATCCCAGCACAGCTGGATGCCAGCTGGGATGGAGCTTTGGTTAAGACTGTTGTGTGAGCCGTCTGTAATGAGGTAAGACTTGGTTTTCAGGGAGATACAGAGCCAGTTCCAAAGCCACGAGGACGGTGAATTCGAAACCGATGAGATCCCTTCTGTTGAATCTGAATCTCTCTTCTAGTTTCTGTCACAGTGGTAACAAAACAAAACAAAGGAAGGGAGAAAGAATCAGTTAATCCAGGTGATTTCAAGGCATTGTTAGATTAAGTCTTTGATGCACAGCCTGAGCTTATTTTCAGAATCAAAACCAGCTTATCAGCTCAGCTGTGACACCCACACAACTGTTACTGCTTCTCTGGCAAACATATACTAGTGCAAAAATAACTTTACTGGAGGATCAGTAAGACACTAGCCTGCACCAGGCAGACAGTTTTAATGAATTAAAAAAACAAAGCAAGGAAGAGCCCTAATGAGACATAAAACTGCCTGAAAGAGCTAGTCTTCCATGCAAGCACGTGCCACAGAAAACCTTGCATTTAATCTCTGCCTGTGAGCTGGGGAGGAGGCTCTGACAGCAGCTGGAACAAGGCTCACAGCACTTACATCTATTAGGTGTTTCACTTCGTGTTTCCTGAGGTCACTGCTGATCTTGGCTGCGAGCAGAACACAAGCACCAGCGCACAGTTTGCGGTTCTGTTTGTTGAGTTTGCCTTGGAGGACGAGCTTCTCAAAGTAAACGTAAGCCATGGACACAGTCACGGGCTCCAGACTGCACTCCTCACTCAGGTTTCTCATCTCTCTCTTTAAACTGGGAATAGGAGAAAAGACACCCCCCCAGACATGACAGATTTTATTAAATGCTGTAGAAACAGTGCAGCACAGCAGCTCAGAGGAGCATATGGGCAAGATTCCTATTTGGAAAACCATGGCAAATTATGCTGGAGTGGAAAAGCCCAGCTGGTGCTGATGCACAAACTGATTTCACTCTTCCAAAAACACTAATTCACCTAGCTGATAATATCCACTGTGGTAGAACAATTCCTCATGTGCCCATAAACACCAGAGCTTAGCTGCCTCACTGACACACAGGCTATTGCTGTAGGATTTCTTCTGGGCTCCCAAACTGGTTTGTGATTCATATCGTAAGAGTGAAGCACTCTGACCTGCAGAGAACCACAGCAGAGCCCTGCAGGTGACAGCAGCTGCTGCACAGAGACCTGTCGAGTAGACACCTTGTGTAAGAGCCAGGTGTGAGGGGAAGGCAGCCTGCTTGCCACACTCCCCACACAGCCAGCTCTTCAGCTCAGCATTTATCAGGCTTGGAGGTGTATGGCTCCTCTTAGGGCTGCCATCCACACTGTAGCTGCATGATCTCTGCAGGAACACACTGCTCTGAACTGCTGCAAAGAGGAGCATGCAGGACTTGGGCAGAACAGACTGGCCAAGCAAACCTTCCCCTGGAGCTGAGCTACACCTGGCCCTGGTGACTGAGCAGAATTGTGTTCAAGCTGGCTATTTCAAAAGGCTCTGATTGCATTAATCTCCCTGTAACACCAGCAAGATTACAGCTCTCTGAAGGTGCAACAGTGTATCTTGGTGAGGAGCAACCAGATGCATTTACTCAAGGATGAGAAATTCTCTGTGGCCTCCACCAAAAGCTTTTCTTTACCAAGTCTCCCCAGATCTAACACTCTTTATCCTACAATCTTGTTAAAGTCTGTGGTCATCACTGACTTTGGTAATTGAAAGGCAAAAATAGCCAGAGGGCCCAGAAAGCCAATCCAGTTGGAGTGGGATTGCACTGCAGCCAAGCAATCAGGTTACAAGTGTTTGTTTCAAAGCTAATGCTACTCCACTGTTAATTGGCTCCTAGTGTTAGTACACCACAGTTGGTGAAACAAAACCCTTGAGGTGGAACTTTGAAAACCAACTGTTACCCTTTCTCAGCATCCTGAAGATTCCAGCACAGGGCTGTCATCCTGCAAGTCATCTCAACTGACAACAGGAGATTAGTGTTTAATCATATATGCTATTAATAGATTTAGTATTTGCTGCATACAAGTGCAGCCTCAAACAGTGTGGACGATGTCCTTGTTATTCAAGGCTTATTTCTTACCTCCTAATTTTGCTCAGTGTCAACTTGATATGAGGAAACTTCTCTCTAAAGGTTTCATTCATATCCTTTTTAAGGTCTGAGGGTTTCACATACTCTATGACTGTAGTCTGAAATGCAAGAAGCAAAATTTATCATTTGTCTTGTGAACAGGACTGACAACCAACAACTCTTCCAAAAACACTAATGCAAAGGCAAACTTGAGTTTTATTATTCACAATTTAACATTTCTTAAATGTCCCAAAATTGAAACCCAACTATAGACAAAGTCTTTAAAAAAACAGTAGGCAAATTGTTACAAGAAATACATGACAACATGAAGACAGGTGTCGGGTTGGCCTTTTGACAAACTCACTGTACAAACTCAACTGTTTGTATTTTTCCTAATCAATTATCAGAAAAAACACTTTTTCTTCCTAGAGGAGTTTTTCTTCCTCAAAAAAACTCTTTATAGGAGGATCTGTTAGGGAGTGTCTCCTCTTTCAGGTATGCCAGTCACTCACCATGTAGGAGGCAAAGATGAGAACACGTTTATGTTTTCCACAGGGCCACTGAGGATCATCCAGAAGATTTGGATCATACTCTGCAGCTTCTCCAGCTTCACTTCCTGAGGGAATGAGGAAAGCACATTGGGTCACCAGAAAAAGTGCTTTAAATTCCCTGTTTCCTCCTTAAGAAAGTTTTCAAATAGCAAACGTTAAGTGTTGGCAGATCTCACAGTACAGGCAAATTGCAGCTACAGGCACAGGCTTGCATTTCATAAATACACTAGTCACAAATTAGAACAATTAAATAAATCACACAAACTCTTTCTCCACCACACACACACCATGCCTGACACACCATTTTAGATTTAGTGCAAGCTGAGTTTGCATCTACAAATATACCCAGAAAACAACTGCCCAAGAATGAATTCTTTTGCCTGTAGTCTAACAGACAGCAGAGTTGTTGTCAGGTTTGCTCTTTTACACAAGAGAAGGGATTCTTGGCACAGACTCTGGCTTATGCATTGTCACTGTGCTAGAAGGCAAGGAGAACCACCTGGCTCCACGTACCAGATGTTTCTTGGTGAGTAACATAAAACTTTACATTCCCAAGGAAAAGCTTTGTGCCTCTTGAATGGCATAAACAGAACTAGGCTAGATATATGGAGGATCTAAGGAGTTTGTGGAAGCCTCAGTCCTAAGGCTCATCATTTGCACTGCACTAACGAGCTGGAGCACCTCCATCCCAACAACACACTAACCACCTGCAGTTGTCTCAGACAAATCTCTGCCTTTTCTGCTGCGTGCACCAGTGATGGCAGAGCTGGCTGCTGTCCTTACCAATGTCTGTCCCTGCTGGTATCGTTTTTGCTGTCACAGGTTTGTATCTTGATCCAGGAAGACTCCGGGGAGCACTGGCTCGACAGGCGGGAGCAGCACCGTAGGCGTCGGCTTTGCGAACAACCAGAGCGTTGGTCGGGTACAAGAATTTTGCATAGGACACAACCTGAAAGAAGAGAAAGTTGTAGTGATTACTGGGGGAAATTTACTGAAAAACTTTTTTCTAGACACCTAGGATTTTCCAAATCAGAGTTCCCTAGAGTCTGGATTTGGGAGTGGGGAGCTTGGAACTGTGAGACAGGAGGAAGGGAAAAGTTGGATGAGGTGTGCCTTGTTTCCACAGCTTTAAAATGAAGTGGTGTAGAAGATTTGGTGGGATGGCAAAGAAAAGGCAAGAATCACAAGTAAAAATCTGGCATTATAAATTTAACTAAAGCAGTATGAATTTCATCCATATTTCTATCAGAACTTCACTCACATGTTGCCTCAGATAGCAAAGCCAACTCAGTTCTCCAGAAACAGAGGCAGAAGTGATCACAACCTTCAGCAGCCTCTTCAGAAGAAGCATTATCACAAGCCACAATTTCAAACTATGGGTCTAAAACTTCCACTACTCTGAAAAGCCACAGCTCTCACATAATGGACAGCAAAGCACTCCATAAATTGATTTGTCCCAGCATGAAATGGTCCTGGGGTGAAAAAATAAATGTCCTTACCTTGCCATCAGCACCCAGCTCTACTCCTTCGAGTCCAAGCACCATCTCAGTAGATACTGAGACTCCCCCAGAAGGATGTCGCTGTTTCTGTCCCTCCATTTTCAGATCACTAAATTCAGATAAGAAAGAGCACTATTACAAAATGCAAGCCCAGCTTCCCATGGTAAACACCAACCAACACCATCAGGTCAGAGTTCTCCTGTGTGGAAACAAGCCAAACCCTCAATGCCACCTCCAGGAGAGCATTAGTTTTTAACTACCCTTTTCAAAAAGTGGAGATGTTCATTAACCAAAGAATCAGATTCCATTTCAGTTTAACACAAATCTACCAATCTACCTATTGAAGGTAAACTGTTTTTAATATGATCTTTCTGCTCAAGACCATTACCAACCTTCTAATACTCAAACAGATAACAGCAAACTTGATTTACATTACTTGTTTCCCAGGATTAGAAACCTGCCTTTCAAGAGCAAATTTGCAACCCCTGTGCACACAAGCTCAAGTTCAGAATAAAGCTACAGATCTCTGTGTCAGCGATGGCAGCACGTGGCTTTGTCACCAATATTCCAATATAAAATCCAGTTTTCAAGTGAAGAACTGCCTTGCCAGCTTGCAAGCAGAACAGCACAGTGCTCAGAACTGCTCTGAAATAGCTCCAGTGACCTTGCTGCTTTTCTATTATGTGGGAGAATATTTTCCCATCAACTATTTTTATGGCATGTATTTGCATACAATACAATTCCCACCACTAAGCATCCGTTTCCTTTGTCCATAAGTTACGGACAGGACAGAAGTGACAACACAATTGTTTTGCCAGAACAGAATTAGTGTTTTGTATGGTATATTTGTAGATAATAGACCTTCACAGAATGGACTTAAACTTCACAAGGGACTGAAGAAAGACACAGGGAAATCCAGTTTGGGAGTTTTGTTTCTCATAAATGAAAACAAAAGCTGTAAACAAAAACGTAGTCCAAACACTAAAAGCAGTGTGAATAAGTCCAAACTGTTTCTGTTTTTCTTAGGTTGCAAATAGCGACATTCACGGTTTAAAACTGAGAAACAGAAGAGCATCTTTAACTTATTTAGGTGTAAATTCACTATAAAACCTTCAGAATTTCCACTGAAGGCAACAGCACCCCTCCCTGAAACTCCCTGTGCTTTTTTGCTGACATCAATGTTTGTGGCTCTGAAGACAGTTCATTTCTGACCACTTAGGAGTATAGAAAACCTACACAGCAGCCAATCACATTATCTGTTCAAAGCTGATTTCAGAGATTTCACAGGACTGAAGTGCTTTAAAGTGTGAATAAACACTGGAAGAAAAGTCTGCTTTTCCCAGTATTTTTCTCTTGGAGATGGAATGAACACTTTGACACTGTGGCAGCGCCTGGTTTTACTGCTCTGACAGCAAGCTCTTGTCCTTACACATGGATGGCAGGTTAAATAGGCTCACTTGCTTCAGAACAGGAGACCTACACCAAAAGCACACTCATTTCAGGAGATCTTTTGAAACAACAGAGCAGACATTTCACAGAGCAGGGACTCACCTGATCCGCAGCCCCTCCCCGTAAGGTAGGATAGAAAACGCCACACACAGGGTTCGTTTAGCACAGATCAACACTATCCTGTAAGCAGATGGGGAAAGATCAGGACATGAAGTAAGATCCAGAAGTTACAAAGCAGCTTTTTATGGGATATTAACACAAGGCTCTTATCTTGCTCTGCAAGTCATAGGTACTGCTATGGATTAAAGATTTTCAGAAAGCAGCAGAAGAGCAGAGGTTTAACATTGACCCTGCAGGTCCTTGGGGTTCTCTATCAAACCTCAGTGTTTAGGACCTGCCATCACCTTGGGAGCTCCTCAAAGGAGATTCCAGTCCTTAAAAATATATCTATATTTATGTAATTTTTACATAAACGTTGTGAAAAGATGTAGATAATATTCTACATTTAGATGAAACCTCACACTTCTATTAATAATAAACATAAATGCAGCCTCCCTTTCTCTTCTGCTCAGCAACCATGAGCCAAGAATTTGGCTAAACCAAACCATTCTCCTTAATAGCTTCTCCCATTTCTCCTCCATTCTCAGCTCTGACCTCTCTGTGCCAGAGATAAGGGAAGTGAGAGAATTAAGAAAAGTGAGAGAAGAGAGAATTATTTAACCTCCTCAGAGTAGGATGGCAGAATCATCAGTGTATTGCTGCAAATGTAGCAGAGGTGAGCACCTACCACCTTTGACAGAAGTCTGGATAAAGCTAACAAGGCCCCAGGGGCATCCTCTAATTCTCACTGACATTAAATGTCTTTCTGCATGGAACTGGAGGCTGCTTCCTACTGCACACAGGTACAGGGGGAACCTCGATCACCACACGTTACCTGCTGTTCTTGGTGTCATACTGCCTCATGTTCTTGATGAAGTGCATCTTCTTCAAGCTTTTGTGTCTTGGAGACCCAGATATATGCTTGGTTCTGCAGTGATAAAAAGAAAAAACAAACAAAAAGCCAAATCTGTTAAGTGTTCTGAGAAAAATTCATGCCAGTTGTATGATCAGATGGCAGCAGTAGCATGCAGGACCTCAGATATTGGCGTGGAAGAGGGTGGAGGGAGGAGAGGACTGCATGCAACGAGCTGAGGTTAATGCTGCTTTTGAAAACAAGTACCTTCGTACACTGGCATATTCCACTATGTCTTCTAAAAAGTCTAGAGAGCAGCGCTGGGAGATAAAACGCCTTCTGCAAAATGCACAACACCACGAAGAGTGAACAGCATTAGTTCATGGCCTCCGAGTTTATGAACTGCAACAGATCTATGAGCTCTTAGGATGCATGGTAGGTTTTCTGGATTTTTGTTTTGTTGCAAGAGTGCTTAACTAAGAGTTTAAAATTCCTTAAAAGGCCAAGAACTTGTCTCCCCCACTAGGACTCCTGAAATACATACTTATACCAACTTCATCAACAAGACCATTCATCATCTGCCACACAGAAGAATGCCTACCTATAAGTTAAACACCTAAAAAGCTTCCAAATACTCATTTAAAATCTGGCAAGAATGTTACAAAAAGACCCCTTCATCAAGGGAGGGGAATAAATCATTTTCTATCAATTTAAGCTCAGATACAGGTACATCTGTATGATGACCAAACATCTGTGTGCATTCTCCATTCAGAACAGCTGTCTCCAGCTTCAGGAGTCAGCAGACTGAGAGTCTGTGACTGCAGCTCAATAAAACTGACAGATCTCTCTGAGAAACAATAGAGAGGGTTATTAGAGGAAGCAAAAAGTATTTGGCATCCATGTGAAGTCCCAGAATGGAAGATGCAAGAATAATAGTAGGGCCCACATGAGTTAGTGTAACAGTAATAGGATATTACGTTCAAGCAAAAAAAAATAGATTTTGCCAAAGTAAGATGCATTACTATTGTCCAAGTCAAGTCTTTCTTTGTTGGTAGAGATTTACAAATGAATTGTGCAACTTTGACTGCAATTTCTACAGGAACAATGCACTCCACCAGCAAAAGCTGACACTACAACTATCAGAATCCATACTTTCTGCCTTTGTTTGAACATGCATTATGCTACACTTTTAGCACAACCCATATGTGCTCAAGTCCAAGGTTTTCTTCCCAAGTGAGACAGAAACTCAACTAATGGGCAATGCTGCCATGGAAGTCAATGTAGAAGCAGCACACAAGACAAAAGTTAGAGGACTCTGGTTTGACAAGACCAGCTTCTGGCACAAAAAAAATCAAAGCTCAAGCTGCAGCAGAGCAGACTCTCAGCTGCACTGTTCAGGCACTCTTACAAGGAAGTAACGCTCAGAACTCCACCAGGTAGGAGGATGAAAAATTAGTGTCCTTTCTGCAAACACAAGGGAGGCAAACACTCCCACAGGACTAACACCTTCAGTATTGCTAGAGACTGCCTCCTACAAATCCACAGCCATTAAGGTGCAACTGGAGAACATTCCTGGCACAGCTTCAACCAGTGCTCCACCAGCACTTCAGTTTCAAAATTAGTACTGGTTTGCTGCTTTTTCAGCAAGAATGGCACAGGAACTAAGAGTTTAAAATTCCTTAAAAGGCCAAGAACTTGTCTCCCCCACTAGGACTCCTGAAATACATACTTATACCAACTTCATCAACAAGACCATTCATCATCTGCCACACAGAAGAATGCCTACCTATAAGTTAAACACCTAAAAAGCTTCCAAATACTAATTTAAAATCTGGCAAGAATGTTACAAAAAGACCCCTTCATCAAGGGAGGGGAATAAATCATTTTCTATCAATTTAAGCTCAGATACAGGTACATCTGTATGATGACCAAACATCTGTGTGCATTCTCCATTCAGAACAGCTGTCTCCAGCTTCAGGAGTCAGCAGACTGAGAGTCTGTGACTGCAGCTCAATAAAACTGACAGATCTCTCTGAGAAACAATAGAGAGGGTTATTAGAGGAAGCAAAAAGTATTTGGCATCCATGTGAAGTCCCAGAATGGAAGATGCAAGAATAATAGTAGGGCCCACATGAGTTAGTGTAACAGTAATAGGATATTACGTTCAAGCAAAAAAAAATAGATTTTGCCAAAGTAAGATGCATTACTATTGTCCAAGTCAAGTCTTTCTTTGTTGGTAGAGATTTACAAATGAATTGTGCAACTTTGACTGCAATTTCTACAGGAACAATGCACTCCACCAGCAAAAGCTGACACTACAACTATCAGAATCCATACTTTCTGCCTTTGTTTGAACATGCATTATGCTACACTTTTAGCACAACCCATATGTGCTCAAGTCCAAGGTTTTCTTCCCAAGTGAGACAGAAACTCAACTAATGGGCAATGCTGCCATGGAAGTCAATGTAGAAGCAGCACACAAGACAAAAGTTAGAGGACTTTGGTTTGACAAGACCAGCTTCTGGCAAAAAAAAAAAAAAAAAATCAAAGCTCAAGCTGCAGCAGAGCAGACTCTCAGCTGCACTGTTCAGGCACTCTTACAAGGAAGTAACGCTCAGAACTCCACCAGGTAGGAGGATGAAAAATTAGTGTCCTTTCTGCAAACACAAGGGAGGCAAACACTCCCACAGGACTAACACCTTCAGTATTGCTAGAGACTGCCTCCTACAAATCCACAGCCATTAAGGTGCAACTGGAGAACATTCCTGGCACAGCTTCAACCAGTGCTCCACCAGCACTTCAGTTTCAAAATTAGTACTGGTTTGCTGCTTTTTCAGCAAGAATGGCACAGGAATGTTTAACACTTTCACATTTACATGGCTCTCCAGTCTAATCTAGCATCTAAAATTTAATAAAAAACCCTTCATGAAATGAGGAAGTAACTGCAAACCTCCTGGCTCTAATGCAGTTGGTAACATCCACAATCTTCCTCTCCTCCCGAGGGAGACCTGGCTGGATGGAGACAGAAAGGCGCCGTGTATGGCAAGCAGAGGGAAAACACAGCTAATGCCAGTGGGCACTGGTACAAAAAAAGCACATAGTTCTGTTAAAGGATGCTTGGTGTGAGTAACAGGATGGATTGGGAGAGCCATGGCTACATCCTCACTCCTAACTCCACGGCGGAGACTCAGCCAGGGTGTTACACCTTCTGAATACCCCCTTGTTTTCTCAGTAACAGGGACAAGAGTGCAAACACCTGAACCGAGAGCAGATCTGGAAGTAAAACCCTGCTGCAGCGAAGGGAAGATCCCACCCCTTGACTCAGAACCACAATGACTCATCTGCACTCTGCCAACAGGAAACTTCATTTTTAGCTACACTTGTAAATAATTTCTGCCCTCAGCGAAGCTGTCACCTTGGAGGAATCCCTGATACTGAGCCAGACACTCTCCCTCAAATCCCAAAACGGGGTGTATGTAAAGAATTCTCACTAACCCAGAGTACCTGAAACAATTTGTAGGCTCAATCCAACACTTTCCAGCAACACAGCATCCTCAACATATTCTGAGAATCACTAGTGCAGTACTTGGAGAATGCACCAAAATTTGACACTTTTTGAGCAGTCTGCACTTATAAATATGCACACACACATATATTTGCTTTAGTTTGAGTGCTCTTCTCATGCAGCCAACTCACACTTGCACAACAGGCTGCACTGGGTCACTCCAGTGACTGCTAACTTGGATGACAAAAAAATGGCAAGCCACCTATGCTGTGCTAAGCAGCTTCACCCAGGATAACACTTCTTGCTTTGGTCCATGGAATTCAAAGGATTTTAAGTGGTTTCCACAGCGTGTTTGTTGCTGAAAGCAACCTAAATACTAAGAATACCAACACCTCTACATATGCTGAGTTATGTTATGCAGCCTTACCCATGTGTGACTTGGCAATTTGAGACTGAAATACTCAATATTAAAATGCTCACGGGTTCCATGGAGCAGGCCGTAATTCCAACAGAAAGTCCAAACATGCCTGTTTGCCAGCACCAGCCATTGCTGTGACAAGCTATAGAGGGTTTGGGTGCTTGCATGTCCCTGACCAGGAGCTCATTTTTGGGTGCTTCCCAGCCTTTTATTTCAGGAGCCAATAAAGCCAAAGCAGTACACTTCCAAACCATTAAAAACAGCAACTGTGTTTACAGAGCCAGAACCTCGAGGGGACTGATCAAGAGCAAAAACACACAGAGCCCATGCCCAGAGATAAGGGGCTATCAAGTAGAGGAATTCTGGATTACGCCGTGGCTCCTTATCTCCCTGTGCACACCCGGGCTCACACAATCCAACGCCGCTGCCAAATCCCTGACCGGCTGAACACGCACTTTAAAAAGCCCACAAAAAATGCCTGTGTTCAGGAAAAAACCCAACAAATTATCTTCAGAGCTACATTTTGACTCCTGCCCTGCAAAGCAGCAGCCAGCCCACACATTTATTCTTCCTGATGGATCTCCCACTGAGGAAACGCAACATTTGAGTGCTTCCAGCTTCAGAGTTGTCCTGGTCCTGCCAGGGTCCCACTGAAACCCTCTGCACAGTGGACACTGGAGAAGCAGCAGAGGGATCCCCAGCCCTGAGGGTGACACAGCTCTTCAGTGTTCCCAGCAGGACAGGACACAGCTAAGAGCAATCTATGTATAGCAATGGTAATCCCTACATGTCCTGTCTCATGAATGGAAAGAAGAAAGCTTGTTAAGTCACAGCTCCAGATTAGAGAACACTGATCTTTCTGCTGCCTTGCCAAGAGTTTTCTCCCTCCTCCCACCTGCATTGGGCTACCTGCAGACACCCAGGAGGACAAGGGTAAAGCTTTGGGATGTTGCTGCAGTTGGAACTGTGCAAGTTCTTTAGCAGGTACTGAATGCAAGAGATGCTGGCCCTGTGTTGTCAGATGTGGCTTCAGGCACAGACCAGCCTTGTCCACTCCTGCTCCTGGGCCACTAACAGTCCTCTAAGGCACTCCTTGGGAGCCCATGGTCCCACTCTGCACTCACAGATTCTGCAACAAACAGCACAAATCTC